GTCTGCCTATACATCATACAGGTTCTACACTAGATGCCGTATCTGTAACCCAACTATGGGTGTTACCCGTTTAACCCTCAGCCCAGTATACTAAATTATGTTGAATCAGTATGAAAAGACATTCTCGAGTCTTTGCTAAGGCAAATTTTGATAGTTTGGCGATTACTGGTAAAGTAAGTCGGCCTTTTTGTAAAAGAACTTTTGCGACTTGCTTTATATACAATAGTATTTCTTAGTTGATTTTTAAAACAAAATGCAGAAAATTATTGCAGGATCCCTACTTCGACGATTGGCCCAAAGTCATCTCGAATAACATAGCAGCATAAACGATTGAGCGTTTCAGCCATTATTGCAAGAATGTGTAATTCGATTTAAAAAATTTTATCGCGTTTTTGCATTTATACACAGTGTAACAAATTAAAAATCACATGACAGTATGCATATATATAAAAGGCAAATAATAGTAACGCAAAAATTTATTATTATTTTAATGCCGAATTTGTTGCTTTGTCGTGCCGCCCGCTTCAATTTTCTTTATTTCTTCGGTTTCCTCTAAATCTTCCTCCTCTTTAACTTCTATTGCCCCATCCTCCTCATAGTGACGTACATCATATCTTTTTCCTCTTATTCCAAAAATCCCCCAATTTGGATAGATACCAATTCGTACGTCCTCTATGTCAATGTCTCTTCGCAAACTTTTAAACTCATTTTCACCTGGTTCCAGTACCCAATCGAATTCAAATGTGTCATCCTCCTCTATTGCTTGAATTTCGTTTTTCATATCATTTTCATCAAACCCGGTAATAAAAATAGCGCATTTAGTTTTCAATAACTGTTTAATCGTTTTCTCCCATAATTCTTTTCCGTTATTTCGAGCTATTCCAGGATGAAAAAGAAAGAACACGTCACAGTATGGATCAAATGGATGTACAGCATCATGATAATCATGATATAAAGAATTTTTCCATGTAAAAGAGAGGTAATGATTATAATGTGTTGTATGTGGCTCATTTCCACGTGGAAGTGATTCAGGACCAATAAAATGAAAATGCAATGTTATGGTCGGGAATAAGTATGAAAGTTGTGTATATAGATGCAATGGTAATTGTGCTTCGGCACGGGCCCCAACGATAAAGATTCGGACCGTTTCTGCGGGACGAAGTGTTTTTATGTCAACAATGGCTTGTTTTGGATGCAGGGTCGTTCTTAATGCTTGAAATATGAAAATAGGGCACGTGTTAGTAATAAATAAAAAAAGAACAAAAAAAGTCTGGCAAATCTACCCAGTAACGACTTCAAGCCTTCGTTTGTCAATCGATTTCTGAGTGTATATGGACCATTATTGTGCAAAACGGATCCAATGGTTATTGGGTATGTCAACAATTTAGATATGTGTCTTAACGAACGATCGTGATCTATACTTGGAAATCCTCTTGTGTACAAATATGTGTCCCAATTTAACAAATTAACCTCTTCATCAAGTGGTTGTGAACCTATAAGCAGTGATAAGTGTTAATAAAGTAATTTAAAGAAAGTTAAAATGACTTTTAGATAAACTTACTCGGAAACTCCAATTCTTTCATTTTCCTACCACTCATTAAATCATGCATATCTTCATTGAATTCTCTTAACATTTTACATGTATGCAATTTATGTTCAATTAAGTTATGCTTATAATGTTCTTCTGAACAATGAGTAGGAATTCCACAATCTGGACACTCATAAGCTGGCCTCTTTTGATTTTCTTTAGCTAGTCCTTCGCAAGCCGGACATTTACCGAATTTTCTGAATAATTCGCCTCGTTCTCGAAGACTTTTTATTGGAGATTTTGATATTGGATGAAATAAATTATCATTTTGAAGTGCAGGTTGAAAATCCGTCTTATCTTTTTTATCTATTTTAAAAATGGAATTTAAAGAAACAAATGACCGTTTAAACGAACGATATTGTAATGGTTTTATTGTTTGAAATAAATTCAGAAAATGACTATCATTATAATTCACATCTCTTGAATAGGTAATAGATGATAATTTTAAACGCGTTACATATGAATTATAAAATCGAAACTTTGGAGGATTTTTAATACAAAACATCGAGATTATCGTAAAAAAAAAAACCATAAAGATTATTTATATATACACGTGCGTCACATTACTGCAACAGATCGACCAAAATTCAGGGTCGGTGTAGCCGGAATTGATCAGATTCTATCCGAAGAAACCATTTTGAATCCATAATTCATCGAACTTCCAAATTCCGACAAGCTTAATTCACCGACAAAGTATTATTGTTAGGTTAGATTAGAATTATGTTTAATTAGTGCAAGTTATATGTAAGACGAACCAAGCACAACCACCCAAATTAGTTACGTACAGAGTTTGAATACATATAATTTAATATAATAAAAATTTTTCATAACGATAATAAAATCACCTAAAAATTCATATAATGCTGAGTAGAAATCGTAAATGATTTGGGTGGTTATGCTTGAGGGGTTCAAGGAGGAAGTAATTTCTTTTAAAAATAAATTTTGGGTTTCGAATGTACATTGTTTAAATACACACATTTTTAATACATAAACAGGTGGTTCTTGACACTATTTGCCAAAATGGGATATATTTAAAGTTTTGGTATGAACCCAAATTAAGTAAAATACTGATTTCCGAACTAATTACAGTTTTATAATTAAAAAAAGAATGTTTTAAGAGTTGACCCGATTGAGTCATAAGAAGCGATCAATTTATTAGAGCTATGGCACTAATGGTTGAAAATGGGACATCTACAGTATTTGGATTTTGGTTATTATTTAAATACAATAAAAATCTCGATTCCTAAACCCAAACTACATAATTCAAAAAAAAAAAAAAATTGAACGTGATCTTACTCTTTAAAAACTTAACCTTCTTTTTTTACAATTTAAAAAATTGTTTTCTGATTGACTTAGAATAACCCCTGCCAAATAATTCACTTGGATCAAAAGGTTTTTAATTTGTCCAAGATTATCCTTATCCATTTTTGAAAGTTTTTTATTTTCTTCGGTGAGATAAGAGTTTTGTAAATTTAATGCCATAATGTCCAAATTGTTTTCATTTATTTCATTTTCCATGTTATTTGATGGTATTTTTCAAATCCAGAACATCTTGTTTGGATTTATTCAATTCAGATGACAAAAAATCAATCCTTTCATTGGAGGAAATTAACAGCCGGTCCTTTTTATGTAAATAGTTCGATAGATTTTTGATAATATTTGATGTTTCTTGATTACTTGGTTCATTTTCCTTGTATAAACAAAAAGTAAATAAATAAATTAATTAATAATTATGTTTATAATAACAAGTACAAGTTCCTTGTAAAGTATATAATTAACATCTTAAACGAAGAGTCAAAAGAATTTATTCAAAGGAACTCTTAGTTATTAATAATTATTAAGTAATAATATTTTTGTTAGTAGCATAACAAGCACAAGTTCCTTGTTTTAGAATAAAGTACATAATTAACATCTTAGAACGAAAAGTCAAAAGAACTTATTCAAAGGAACTCTTTTAAGCTAACCCTTATGGAATTCGAGCCTAAGGTTTCAATAACCAACCCAGCGTAATCATCCTGGCAGACGATCTCACAAAAACAATATAGTATTTGTGGACTCGATTAGCTATCTCCAACAGTTGACTCCATCGTAACCATCTCGTAAGATAGTCTCATATTGAGTAACTCAAAAGTCTTGGCTAAACTACTGTTAAAAAATATATATCTACCTGTTCACTATTGCTTTCTGTCTCTTCTATTTCTTTAACAACATTGTTGTTTTTCCCCTCTTCTACTGGTCCATTGTTGCGTATAACACGTCTGTGTCTCCTTTGTACAATAGTCATGGCTTAGCGTATGTGTGTTAACAATTTAGAAATCTCCACGATCTTAAAAATAAGTATGTTGGAGTTGAATATGTGTCATATTTATATATAACAGATAAGTTTTTTTTTACGCGTACGTCGTACATATACATGTGTGCGAACTAGAGTTGTTGGTGAAACTAATTAGTTTCACCAGAACCATCGGTGTACCAACGGTGCACCGATGGCGCATCGTTG